GTAGTAGTACAGTAGTAGTAGTACAGTAGTAGTAGTAGTAGTAGTAGTAGTAGTACTAGTAGTAGTAGTAGTAGTAGTAGTAGTAGTAGGTAGTAGTAGTAGTAGTAGTAGTAGTAGTAGTAGCAATTAAAAGCAGAGTACGAAGAACCGGCTATCGATGTATATTGTACATGCGCCGCCTGACACAGAACCCAGAGGTAATGATGCCTCAAAGCGAGGATGGGACATCTCAGCTCTGACCCGGATCTACCATTGAAAGCTGGTAATCAATTGCAACCATACACGTCATGTGTAGTCCATACATTCAACTTAGGATGTGCGTAGTTGTTTAGTGACTGTTTCCAACGCCAGAACCGACGAGCATCTACCGCCCATACATGTCATGAATTGCCAACCTTGGGGCCAGCATAGCACTTCTCAAGCCCAAAGCTGCTAGCTAGACCGCCATGAGGAGCATTCATTCATTACACTATCCCAGCTGCTTCAGAACCGAAATTCGCAAAGCCATCTGCAACGGCCCGCCCAAACCATGACATGTGCTAATGGCGTCGTGCCCGTTGCCATACCCATGCCCACAGCCTCGTGGGCTGCACATAGTTGTAAGCGCCAATGTCCAGCAAATTTTGCATGCTGTTGGGCTGATGCACACCTGCTACAGCAAACGACGAGATAGAATGCTTGTTGAGCTCGGCTATGGCCTGCTAAAGCACTGATCAGACAACTGGAAGCCGCCTACACTCTGCACTATGGCTGGGGAGCTTGATGCCAAACTTTGCTCTCCCTGCTGCCAAAAACTAGTCGGCTGTTCGACTTGATCTCAAACTCAGCGAAGGGAACTGTCTGTTGTTGATTCGCGGATCAGATTTCAGGGGCTTAGTTGGTTGCCTCTGCCGCTACTCTATCACCATACTGCGGCGAAGGACCTGGCCCTCGTTCCGAAGCTTGTATAGGTTCCCCACCCATCCTGGTGTGTCATAGAGGCTGGCGAAGACCGGCGAGGTTGCAGATCTGCGGAATGCCCTGTCCCCCAGCGCAGAACGTTTCAACAAAGAGGTCACTCTTGGAGCACAGGGAATGTAGGTACGTGGATATTCTCCAGACACCCAATCAAACAGTCTGTTGCGGATGCGAGTGATTCTGCTGTGTGGCGGGGGCCAGGCTCTCGTGCGTCCACACAAGCAAAGACAACGACTACAAGGATCCGAGTATGCTAAGAAGAGAAGAAATTTCCGTCGTTGTAGCCGTGAGCAGCCTCGCAATGCCCAATTCCGAGACTGGCGACCAGCCCAAAAGCGGCTGGGAGGCTGGAGGCTCTCATTAGACTGGTCTGGCACGGCTCGGCATTTTGCACAAGATGTAATTCGAAAGAGTTCACGCGGCTTGTCCCCAAATTGCTCTCTTACAGGATTGAGAATCGTTAATGTCAAAGCCCTCCAAAGACAGCTTCCACCTTAGCTGGATGGTGCCCAATGTCGTCCCGGGCGTCCGCGACACAATGGGCCGGGGACCTAGGACTTATGCCAATCTGTTCGGTGGCTTGCAGAGAGATTCAAACACAATAGCCTAAGGTTCCATCACCGGAGCCGGGACTGGTACCCATGCGCATAATCCTATTTAAGCGGCGATGCCTCGTCAAATCCCTTGCAAGCCAGGAGCGAAGCGCCGACACACCCCAAGTCGAGAGGAAACTTGCAGGTTCAGAGTGCTGGAATGTGGAAAACCGAGTGGCAGTCTTCCACTTTGCCTTGCGGAAATTTCACCTCGCCATACATCGTTGAATGTGCAAGGAGTCTTGTAAGTCTTGTCGAATTGTGCGCCGGAACTGCCGAGCATGCCGTCTCAGGGTGTGGTTTGGAATTGCAAGACATACGTTTCGGCGTTCTGGGAAAAAATAGCATGTCTGTGACAGTGCAATTCTTCGGGATCGCAGAACAGCGTAGGTCTGAATTTATCGTCAACAACAGAAAAACAGTACTATTTGGCATTGTGGTGATGAAGATAATTAATCATGACCACGATGACACCGATGGGGGTGATGCTGATGATGCCCAAGAAGATCGTGATGACGTGGGTGAGACTGGCTGTGACAATGACGCAGGATATGCTCACGAGCACATTGTGGCGGATTGTGGCGTGTTGGAACGTGTTTGGCGTGCGGCGCACATAACGAACATACACGACACACATCAGCACTTTCTGTATGCACTCGCGTGGGCAAACACACACACACAAACGGCTACTTGCCTGTGTAGACATGCAAAATAACTGACACGCAACACACACACACACAATGCCTGTGCACATGTGCTCTATCCTGTGCCAAATGACACAAACGCCCTGTCTTCTACTTTAGCAAACTCTAGCAGGCGCCATCATGGCATGGTAGAAGCAATTCATCGGAACCCGAAGCCTCAAACGAACGCCTCCAAACACCAAGAATTGCGAATCAGTACAAGACAAAAACCAATGTCTAGGTTGAGAAGCGAATCCAACCTGGGGTGTGTGGCATAGGCGTAGCTGCATGCCTTTTCACTACGCACGGCCACAAGGGTGATCAGCCCATGTTACATCATGTTTCCATCTCTGTCGGATAGATAGCATTAGAGAGCCGCACCATGTGATACTTACTTCTGCCGTCAGGCTTAGAAGGCTTAGACTGTTGATAACAGTGCTCCGCACATGCACACACCCACACACACACTTACTTTCGTACTTACTGTAACCATTCATCCGCAACCTCCAGCCGATGGTCGGTCAATGAATCTAAATACAGCCAAGCTCTATGTTCAAGTAGCGTAACAGGCCCGGGGCCTGTCATCTGGCCTGTAGAGTCTCTTTTCATCTGCAAAATCGGCCCAGATGTGGAAACATTCGAAGCAACACCAGTTAAGGGATGTTAAGGGTACAGCATTCGGGCGGCTGTGCAGGTACGTGAGCCAGGCGTCCCCGGCTCATACTAGTGATCTGTAACAGCCTCTTCGTTGGACTGTCACAGTTACAAACTATTCAGTGCCCTGCTTTTCATGAACATGCTGTACTTGCTGATCAAAACATACCCTTAATGGCAGTGCTGACCACACGATTTATCTATCTATCTATCTATCTATATGCACAGAATATGTTTGTTACATTGCAACATACCATATCAAAATTACGAATGCGCTTTTTGCCTGTTTTACATGCTCCCAAACAAACAAAAAACAGCCAGGAATCACGAATAACCACATCAGGGGATGGCCAACGAAACAACACTGTACAACCCTTGCAGATATCCACAACAAACAGCCAAACGCAATCAGAAAAAATGGAAAAACAACAAAAATGAAGAAACCAACACAAAATGAACAATTGCCTGGACTCCTAGATCTGGCGCTCTGTGGCAGGAGAGACCCCGTAATATTGTTTTTGTTGGCTTATGTTTTCGTTTCTTGTTTGTGATCTTGCCGTTTCCCTGATCGTGTTGCTGGTTTTGCGCGCTCCTCTTCCTGCGCGCAGGGAGTCTGCATGTGGTCTTCCTTTTGTACCAATCAACAACCGAAAAAAAAACTTTCGTGGGACTCCCAGATTTGGCGTTCTGTGGCCGGGGAGTCCCATAATATTGTTGGTAAAAAAAATGTTGTTTGCTTTTGTTGGTTCTCTTGCCTTTTCCCTGCTCGCGTCGCGCAGCGAGTCTGCATGTGCCAGTGCCAATCAAGAGGACTTCAAAATTGCATGTTTCCATGTGGTTGGCTACTTTATTACATGCTGCAATATCGCCAGCGCTGTACCATTGGTATAAACCCTTAGCTTTAGCTGTTCCTAACACATGTGGATCTATGAAAACACACAAATACATAAATGTGCACACATGGGTGCATTTCTTTATTTCGACTCACACACTCGCACAAGGCAGGCATGGCAATGAGGTTCCGAGCTTGCTACGTGAACATGCTGAACAGGCGAGCAGAGAGCGAGCACCACCGTAACCGAAATCAAATGAAGTAGAACAAAACACGACACCGATTGCTCTCCATGCCCTCTGTTACAGCCGCTCACTGTCTTTGTCAGCGCAGCGAGTTCGCTGCTTCTGTTTCAAAAGAATATACGTTGCCATCAACATGCACTGTAGGTGCACTGTCAGCGGGCTATTATGCCACTGCCCAGTGCAAACGTTCTCACCTGTACTCATGCTCAAAAGTGGGTCACCATGCAGAGAACATCTCAAGGCCGCCACACTGTGCGACAAAACTCCGAATACATCCACCACAGACTGCCCCCAGTACTGTGGCTTAGTAGGCATTCTTGTCACAGCAGATGACGTTCCACTTGCAGTAAATTCATCATGCATTTGCATTGCATTCAAGTGCTGTAAATTCATTTGTCCGTGCTCCAGGCCATGCAGCATGCATTGTGCCTCGGTCCTCCATTTACATACAAACACACTACACACAGATATATATATATATATATATACATACACACATATATATATATATATATATCCGTATAAATATATATATATATATATATACTCTTCATTCAACAGTAACAAAGACTCACTATATTATAGGTGTACTAGAGAAAGATGAACGAAATAAACACGCATTAATTTCATTTCATTGTTTTAGTACGTTCACTTCTTTCACTTCTCATTCATTCCACACCAAAGGAGAGTGCCAATGGGAAAATGACTTAGGATATCATCTAACATATTATAGGGTGTATTTCCTTGTGATATGATAACCTATGATAATAATGGTATCCTGAGGAGAAGATATAGTTGATAAATAATGGTAACTTACAGGTTATACCCTATGAGAAGTCTATTACAACTAGAATATACTGCTATCCTAGGACCTATTCCTATCATTAGAAAATACCATATGTTACATTACCGACATCATATTATGTTGAATTAACTTATACCAATACCATGTTATATTACACGATGTTCTACCATAGTACATTATTCTTATTTTTTCACGTGCATAGGTAGCCTCATAACTCGGTATACATGATGCCAAAACCAGACAGGCAACAATTGCGAAGCAACCGCACTTGTTGTGGCGATGACGATTTAGTGTTGGGGCCATACGTGCTGACGACCCATCGTTCTGATCCCAACTCTCTCGTTCGGATTGTCTTGGTAGCGATTGAGGACAGTTCTTCACAACACATGACATCGTAGAGTAATGTGTTCCGTGTTTTGTCTTCTGGCAGCACGAAGGTCATGGAAGCAAGCCAGCGATGTGTCCTCGTTTCACCTCTCATTCCCTGTGCCTTCCAAACGCCGATGCCAATCCGCTGCTGCCTATAACTTCCCCGTGCCCACCAACTCGAAGCCTCCAGCCGGTCCAGTAGACGCGTGATGAATCGAGACTTGCCAGCATTGGCTGCACCCACGACGAACCTTTGCAATGGACCGGGGCCGAAGCAGGATCGGTTAAGCTGTAGATTTTCACATTTCTCCTAGTGGAACAAGTAGCGAATCGTTCTGTCAGCATCAAGCCAGTCGGCGACCGAGTTGCAGGTCTGGTTGTGGTGAAACATGCCGGCATGCTGCCAAGAAGCACATCCATGCCCGATCGTGCTTCAATGATAGCATTCACTGCATGATTAATATGCTTCCCCGTCTCGTTGCTGACAAGCTTTACCTTGCGGCACTGCAGAGTTGCAAGTTGCTTGCTCGCAAGCCGTGACAAGTCCTTGCCCTGGCACCTAGGACAAGATGCCTTCTGAGACAGTGATCTTCTAAAAAATCTACCAAATGTCTTCCGCTCTGTTCTCCAGGTGGCATTCACAACTCGCAGCTTCTTCTTGCGCAGTATGTACAGCAGCCACTTCTCCACCAGCTCCAGCTTCGTCTTGGGTGGCAAGAGATCCTTGCATGGGGGTCACTGATCCAGAGACCGAGCGCGGCTCGTAGGCTCTTCTCCGTTTTGGCAGTTCCTTCTTGCGACAACATGAGAGCTATGAAAGCGGCGCAGACCTGAACGCCCTCAAGGTCACACACTCCCAGCACCAGCCGTGAGTCAATCTTGGTTCCGATCAAGATGACAGGATTCTTCCCGACAATCTGGCGGATCTTGCCTCACAGTCTGCGACCCGGACCCAAGCTTCAAACCTAATCATGCGCTCTGTCAAAGGATGCTGAAAGCTATGCTGTGTCAAAGTCCTCGCCGCCGGGTCTTACAGAACATGACAGCACACCCTCTTACAAGGCCAGGAGCGTATAAACGAGCCGTTGAAGTCCAGCACATCCACAATGTACCTGCAGCAGAGTCGGGGCAAATTAAGGCCCAGGTCTGCAAGCTGTGGCAAATGCCTTCAGCCTGATGAGTCGAAGACCCACCCGCCTGTCCGAAAACAAAGCCCCGACACTCGCAAAACATCGACAGCAACGCCTGCTAGCTGTTGCACGTTCTGCAGCCCCATATCGCAAACCCTTCTTGGACTCCCTAAATGTGACCTGCTCCCATTGCCTAAATCTGTACCTGCATAAACCTTGCCGAGCTGGCACAACCAAACAGCGCCGTTTCGAGATGGTCCGCAACTGCTGGGCCAGAACGTCTGCCGGTACTACCTTGAAGGTCAAGGGCTCAGCAAATTAATCTTCTTGTGGTTATTTCCTGGGTTTTGTCCGGTGCCAAGCGCTGCCGGGGGTTGTCCTCCGTAGCACGGCAAGCTGCCTTCCCTCCAAAGCCAACTTCGCCTTCGGCCATCACCTCCTTCAGGCGCCAGAGAGCAAAGTTAAGGTTTCCAACCAGTCCGATAAAGGCGGCCCGAGACATGGGGCTCACTCGGATGCAGCAGCAACCGTTCGGTGGCTGGGCTCAGAACCACGAGAACACAAGGCCCAAGCCACCGCACGGACATCCGCAGTCTTGTCCGACATGTCCTATCGACTCAACACTGCAATCCTTCACCACCGGGACCAGCTGCCCTTGCTCCAAATCCAGGCAGCGGGAGCAAAGCAGCTTTCGGTGTAGTCCTGGGCTTTAGTTGTCAAAAACTCCTTCAAGATACACTTAGACTCTGGCCATTGCGTTCGCACGAACTCCAGCCACACTGCAGCAACGCACAGACCAAGGTTTCCACCCAAGGAATGTGTCAGACTTGCCCAAGCGGCGCTGCGACCACTTCTGGAGGTAGTTCGAGAAGCGCACATAACCTTGGGGGTTTCGACTTGACGCTCTGGATGTTGATATGGTTGCTGTGGTATAGATCAGTTCAGGTTTTGATTTTGTCGTTGCGCTGGTTGCGCTGTTGATGACTGGGGGGTGGGGGACGAGCCCCCTGTCAACGATTGAATCTTTCAGAAGATCTCTGAACTGAACAGGTCTGAGCTAATGACTTGTGCGAGTGATGACTTGATTGTCATTGTGCATTCTCGCGCTTCGTGTCAGGCCCGGGGAAAGACCTGGAACCTCAGAACAAGTAAAGTATGTCAAGCTACCTGAAATCACCTTTTTAGTGTTGATATAGCTGTATAGCTGAACTGAGGTCTACCAACTGCCGCGCACTGAGTCAGTTCAAATCAAACGATTAGTTTTTGCCTCTGGTGTGTGCGATGTCATGAGGGCTGCATGCGGGTCAAGCGCGATAGGCACGGGAAGATGCCTTTCCAGTGATCTTGTATAGACGCGTGCCAATCAAAGCTTCTTCATTGACTCTCGCAGCTCGCTCAAGGCAGGCAAGGTTACCGACAACTGGGTTCAGACAGAAGACACAAGACTTGCGTGTCAAATGAAAAGTCTGCAAGAACCTCGGCAAAAGAGAAAACGTACTCCCAATAACATTTAAGAATTGCCTTGGATCGTTGCACATATGCCATCCGTGCTTCAACATCGGGAGCTTTTGCATACAAGCCCCTCACGCAGAAGTCGCAGAAACCAAGATCTTTACGAGACCAGGGTCCTAGTTATTGTCGCGAAGGCATGCCTTCAAACAACCAGCTATGGAAAGTACTGCGTGCGAGAACTTTCTGTTGCGTGCCCGAGAAAGTTAAAAGAGAAAGAGTTCTAGAACAACGCCGGTAGTGCACTCTCGTATGTTGGAAAGCGTGCAAATTGAAGCCAAGACATTCGCCTCGCTGACAGGGACAACTCATTACACTTGATACGGCACTGGAATCTCGACACATCAAGACCATGAAAGACCCCCAACAATTGTTGGCAACTCGACACAAGTAGTGTACTCTCGCCTGGGCCGCCTGCCGTTTCACTGATTCCCTACCTTCGTCCGAACTGTGGTGGTTTGTAGATGGCCTCAATACTGAAATCTTAGCTCTACAAAGACTAAGACGACATGTGCACCCAGACTGCAAAGGCAAGCTGCCAACGTTGTCTGGGTCATGCGTCTGAAGCGGGATCCCGCACCCACGGCAGCAAATCAAGCGCCTGGGAGGACGGCAGGTCTCGTAGCGAGCAACATGGAACGCAAATTAGCAAGGTTTCCTCTCCAGACGATACCACATATGCGCTAGCACCGCTAGGAGCCCAGGATATGGACTAAGTCCGGCCAACTGCCTGCCTGACAGCCTTCTGCTTCCTTGCGACGCCTCTGCCTTGTGACCTCTCGACCCACGTCTGAAGTCTTCAGTGCAGGATGCTCTGATGCTTTGCTGGCCCGAGTCATGAGGTCCTTGCTGGCAGGTGGGCTAGAGGAATGCCTGCAAAGCCTAATGGGATCTGCTGGCGACCTCGAGTCAAGAGCTTTGCAGTTTGCGGCTAAATTATCAATCCTCTTGAGCGACGACAAGAAGGAGGCATTGTTAGTGGGAGATGCGAGACTTCATAGTCTGCACGGGTCCGGACGCAGAGACACGACTAAGTGAGGTTTTGCATGAGAATTCGTAGCTTCGAGTCCTGAGGTCTGAGGTTCTGATGCCAGCCCGTCTGCCGCATTTGCTAGGCTCCGTCGCTGATTATGCTCTTCGAGGCGTGTGTTAGTTTCACATCACATCTAGTCCTGCTCAAGTTACGCGCAGCCGCGCCACGGCAAACTTGAATCGACAACCTGGCCCTGGAATCAGCACAGCTCAGGTTCAATGCCCTTGGTGAGTGGGTTGTCTGTGTGCGGATCGAAGATGCCAGCATTGTTCCTTGGGGCAACAAACTGAACTTATACTTGTCTGAAGCAAACAAGCGACCTTTGAGTGGGGCATGAACCACAATCACAGGTGCGCCTGCTTGCTTTAACTTGGCTTGACTAGTCGGCATCCAAAAAGAGCTTGTTATCTCGAACATGGGGTGGGGGGCAAACACGTTGGCTTGGGCTTGGCTGAAGGGGCCGGCGGCGGAGACAAAGCCTGCAAGTGAGGACTTTCCTCAGAGGATACAGCAAAACGAAGCAGGCGATGTTCATATGTTACGTGCTTCCGGGAGTTTGTTAATTACCAGTAATTAGGTCCTGCTGACTGCATGTAGACATCGGAAACAAGCAGGAACACTGTGTGCATGGACTCTAGCCTAGGGCCTAGGAGGCTTGGACATACGGGTAGGTACAAGCCTTTTGAAACCTTTGCATCCCGACTTGCTGCCCTGGGTCCTCCGAGAGTCCGGCACGAGCTCATCCACCATGGCCTGGCACGACAGGTGCGCGGCGCTCTGACTGGTGCTGGTAGCACCCCGACTTTTGGATCGCTGCAACCTCCGCATAGCGGAACCACAAGTTCCAGCATCAATCCGAATTCAATCCTTGACCGAAGGCTCAGGACGGGGCACGGACTCAGAGGCTCCGGTGCGCCCGCTTTCTGCACTCTCCATGCCCCCATCCTTCCTTGGACCCCTGGGAGTGCCCACGAAAGCGGCGGGCCTCGAGCTCTTCACCAGTAGGGCCGTCTGGATGCCCAGCATACGGGACACCCTTCCTTGGAGCAGCTCTGAGATTCGGGTAAAAGAAGCGGTTTGGACTGCCAGCAGGTGCTAGAGACTATGAAGGCCGTGATCATGACCATCATCATCTGCAGCAATATCACCCGAGACAGTCGCACAGCGCCAAACAACACCAGAACCGGTGACAGAATGCAGGTAGTTGGCATCTGCAACAGTATCGGGAGCCAGGGAAGGAGTTTCGTACGGTACACGACTCAATGAATTGTTCTGTTCGCTCAGGGTGTGGGTATGTGTGGGCTGTGAGCTGTGTTTCGGGGACGTATACAGACAACGACGTTTGAGCAATCGGTCCGGGAACGGAAAGCTGCACAGCTCCGCACTGACATAGAAAAGTCATAACCACCGCGCGGCCCAGCGCATGTCGGCCCGGGTCATGGCTGTTGGCTGTTGCTTTGGTTGGGCAAGGGCTGAGTCTGCAACACTCGGCAGCCTCATGTTGCTCTACGGCTACATCTGGGCTCAGAGAGCGGGACAGCTCATGACACTCCCGGTTACCGTGCTTTTGCCGGCAAGGGGAGGGATTGGGGCCTACAAGAGTCGACATTCGGGTCCCTGCATTTCACCCGTCTGTTTGCTTCAAGGCTCGTGCTCGGAAGTCTCCTCGGCGCTGCTGGAAGCTCCAGCTGCCTTTGTAAGCTCAGTTTCCAGATTTCAAGGCGTCTGGGAGCCGGACACATAGATCTGGCATTTTAGTTGGTCCTACAACTGTCCTACACAAGATGACGAAGAGGCCTCGAAGCGGCAGCATCCGGCCCTCTCGAGCAATGGAGACCATATCAAAGCTTTACTCTGTCCGAGTCTTCCCACCACCTTTACTGCGACCTTACCGGTTGCTCATCCCAACAGTGTCTCCACTGAAACCCCCATCCCATGCCACAGCACAATAAGGCACGACAGAAACTTGCACACAACGGCAAAAGCAAAATGTGTTCCTCTGCCCAACAGAAAAGCCATGAACATCTCATCCCTGCATAGCCTTACCCTGGTTGAAAGCGACGCAATCACAGGCCAGCCTTCTCAACTGGTCCAGGTCGTCCTGTGCAGGGGCCGTCAGGTTTGAATCACAAAACCGCATTGTCTTCCGCAGTTGAATCTTTGAATATGTTGACCAGTTTACAGTTGGCCGATAGCTATATACCTGCTTCTTGACCGGTCACGTGCCTCGGCACATGACCTATCGCTCACACAGTCGCTCTAGGAGGGCTCGTCAACGCACAGAGGACGTCAGGTCATCGGGCCAGAAGCGATTACCCCACCAAACGAAGACTCCAGACCGCTGAGCAAGATGTTTACGCTCCAAGCCCGGCTACCATGCCTGCATGCATCAACACCGCGAGCCCGACCCCGAGAGATCCTCCAACTGAGAGGAGTCTCGTGCCGCTCTGCGGGCGACAGCTGCACACAAGCACAGAGGCACCTAGGAAAGGGACCAGAAGAGACAAAGAAAACCTCTGCTTGATTGTATCTTATTGATCTTATTGGTGTTATGCTCTTTAAGTGGAGTACCGTGGTAGACAACGCTTGCCGGCTCCTGTTGCTTGCTTGCTGAGCTGCGAGCATCCGTTTGATACAGAACAAACAACAGCTGGATCTTTTCGGAGAAGCCTGCACCACTTGCAGCTCGCAGTGCTCGACATTTCCACCGACATCAATGCTCATAGAGGCCAAATGGAACCATGCTGTGTTGTCAACTGCGCAATCCCGAAGGAAATTGGTTGCGGGTTCAGGGCTGGCCAGCATGCCCATCCAGGAAGCGTCGACGGGAGCCTGGCGCGCGAGCAAGATTGAGCAAGTGGATCAGCTGAGATCCCAGATCCAATCCATGGGAAGCTGTGGGCCCTGGGCCCTCCACTCGAAAAAAGGACAGAAATGACTCCAACAGATCCATGCGCAGTCAAAGATTGCGCATGTGGCAACAGAACTTGCAGCTTCAAAGCCAACAGCGGCACCTGCCTTCCAGTAAACTTCTGTGTTGAACAAAACTATGCTGCAGCGCACGTTGGCAAAACAAACCCGCCATCTCTGCTCGACCCATCGGCCAGGCGGAATTCCCAACGGCGCAATGGGCGCAACTCGTCCAAAGCCTCTCTGCATGCTCGACAGCTTCGGATTTTGAATCTGATGTTGAAATTTAGAGCCAGGGCTTGCCATGCAGACGTGTGTTCGCAAGACCTGAGGACTGCTGGGACATGTTCTGTTGCTGTCGAACCGGGATACTTGGCCCTGCTGCCTCCGTAACCGTACAATAATCAGCGTGGTCTTATGTGACAATGCGTGCTTTTGAACCTCTGATCGTACGATGGGATAGCTCTAGTTACAACAGAACGCCTGGAGAAACAAAGTTTATTTACCCACCGGGGCTTGCGCTGGCACGAAGCCGACTGGTCGCCGCAGCGGCCGCCAGCGGACCTCGGGTCCAAGTGCCACGGCCCAGCAATGCGAGTGCGGAGTTGAAGCTTGCACAACGCCAATGTAACAGTTCTAACTTGTCTCCAAAGTCGCATGCTCTCACCAAGCCCGAGGCCCCAAAAAGTCACAAGTTGTTTATTGGAGCCTCCGCCCTTGTCCAGAAGGGAACAGTACATCGTGTCAATCTGTCAACTCCGGACTCTCGTCAGCTTGACCAGAAGCTCTGCAGAGGCTGTCGTGGTAAGCTTGAAGCCACTATGACTGACAACCAACAGAAGTTCAAGAAGTGAGCCAGCACCAGTACTTGAATGCGACGTTACAGTGCAAGCCCATGCCAAGTCCCACCGGACGTCTGCAAACACCACAATGCCCGGAAACAACAGGCCTCCTTTGCCACAGCGCCAGGGCTCCACCATGGCGACAGCACCGAGAACCACACGACTCTGTAGACTGTCGTTCGCCGAGCTGTGGTATGTGAGCACAAACCTGAAGATCTGGGTGATGCTTGCAATGGCTTCCAGGTTGTGCTTGACCGACAACAGCAGGTAGCATGCTTCGCTTGAACACCGTGTCCATGCGTGCTCCGCTTTGAACAGACACAAGCTGGGATGCTACTACAGTAGGGAACCAGCCACAAATGGCAAATGCACGACCATGACACCAGCTGCAGGATCTGTGCACTGGAGTGACTTGACTTGAGAAGCGGTAAAAACTCCACTGGCCGCACAGGTGCGAGGCCTCCTGTGGTAAAGAAGCCATCGCCTGAATTGCATGGGCAGCTCAAACATCTCCGGAACTGCCAGCCTTTAAAGCAAGCCTTGCAGTGAGCAAAAGCGCAACGGAGTACTGTGAGTGCGCCTCCTACTGTTAATTGGGGGGCGCAAGCTCACACCGGCACCCAGCCCATCGTTTCCGAACGCTTATGACAAACTCGAAAACTCCCGACCAAGCAAGAGCTTGCAAACTCCTGAAGCAACCGCCCATCTGACCTTCAGCTGCCCTGTAGCATCAGCTTTTGGTGAGCTCCTGGTTTCGCAGCTATATCGTCACATATACATACATACATACATATATATATATATATACACGTTACATGGGTATAGCGTGTATAGTGTCCCTGCAGTCCCTACATGGCAGTGTCTATCAGCGCGTGATGGCATCATTAGGGGGTGCGAGGGCGGGGGGTATGAGTCGATCTTACCATATATCTGTGGATCCGCTCTGGAAAGTATCGCCATATATGTTGCACAATGGATATGTTTCATATCTACTCATAACGTTCTGGGAGCTGCTCTATACATTTACGCACTATAAGCCATAGATATTCTAAAACCGAGAAGTGTAGACTCTTGCTTAAGGCGACATACAGCAGCATGCTACGAGATGCGAGTGAAGACACAGCACTGGACCTTGCTGTGTGCCGCGGTCGTTTGCTCTGAGCATACCATTATACTCTTGAGTGACTCGCTGTTACTACAAACACACATACACATACATACATACATACATACATACATACATGCATACATACATGCATACATCCTTGCATGCATGCCGGCATGAATACCTATGGATGCACATACATACGCAAATACACACATGTGTCTACGCACGGGCGGCAATACACAGGTTTCTCAAATGTTGGATACGTGCATGTATACATGCATACATGCATACGTGCATACATACGTACGTGCACGCATCGGCAATTGTCGCTGCAGACTCGGTTGATCCATCATCCATCAATATCCGAGTCAATATGCCAGAGAATATATTTGGGTTCACATTCTTCAACACGGCTTGACTCTGTCATCACATTGCGCAGGCAGTGTGTCCATAAACGTATGTGAAATGTCTTCTCACATTCGGTGTCATGTCTAGGCTACGGTATACTATTGGCCAAGTTCTTGGGTGATATAATGTGCTGTATGATCAGATCTTATCCTCCAGTCTAACCATATCGGGTCAGGCAAGTGGGGCAGCCGGCTGCAAGCGGAACGAAACCGGGAGTTGAGTGTTACTGATATCACAACACAGAAAAGCACTCAGTCGCAGGTTCCGGCCTCAGTGCGATGATCGGCGTTGGATCTGACCGCGAGAAGCGCATCGTAGGGTCTTCCTGACAAGCTGGACGTGCGATCGGCGTCTGAGGGCCTCGGACAACGCTGGGCCCACCCACAGCAAAACCGAAGCGTCAAAACCTCTGGCCGGCTGAAAGCATGAAGTGAAGCGTGTCGATTGAAAGGCTGCAGCAGAGGGTCGGTGGGTCCATGCTTGAAATAAGCCCTTCATAAGTCGTTGTCATAACTAGCACTTCTCGGTTGTGACAAGGCCTAGAGCGACGCCTTAAACACGTCATCCCATAGAGTAGAGAATGTGGCCGATGGCCAACCCACAACGTTAGCTTTTACTGACCCAACTCCGATTCGCTGACGGTAACAGAGCCTCCCGCCGAAAGGAACAGAAAATCCAGGAAACTACCCACAAGCATGCTCCCACTCCTCGCATGTACACATGCCTCAAGCCTCCTCCCTGATCTTTAGATGCGAGAAGCTTCGTTGCTTCAGAACCAGCCGACTGAGAAGTGCGCAAACGAGTCACAAACACCATCCAGTCAGCAGTCTTGCCATGCTGCATTCGTCGGTAGAATTGGGATGGCTTTTCTGTCTCGTGCATCTGGACTCTTGAGTATCTGGCAGAAAAAGACTACCAGTAGCATGGGGATGGCTGATGGCTCCCGTAGCCGACGTCCTCCAGCTGCATCTCTTCGCTGACTTCGATGAAGGTATTCTTGACCTGAGTGCCCTAATGGTGCCAGCTTCCCGGATGCGGGGACGAAGATCGCACACGGAGCAGGAGCCTTAACTTTGTCGTTTGCCACTGGGAGGCTTCCGCTCCTCACACTCGACACACATTGCTAACCCCTGGTTTTGGGCAGCGTGGCATGTGGAGCACATAACATCTCAACAACAATATGCCCTGATATATAGGTAAAAGACCTACGCACTTATGCACGACCATAACTTTCGCTTATGCGTACATACAGCCATGCACAGACACACCTGCAGAAACACACGCCTACCTGCATACATTCCTGCGTACATATTTATATATGTATATACATATCCATATACGTATATGTCTATCTGCGCATAGTATAGGTGTACGTACATGTATTTGTAGGCAGCATGAAGCATTCAATCTGCTGGCACATGTCTTGTTCGGACGAACGCGCAGCTTGAGGCCTGATTGCAAATCAATAGAGCCGCGGGACAAGCGGCTATAAACGCTACGAAGCTGAATAAGCACAATAACCAAATGCATCAAAACAGCACCTGTGCATGTCACCTGGTCAGCCGATGTTATCGTTATCACCCTCGAGTCAACCATCGTCAACCACATCGGCATTTACCAAAACTCCTTCAACATCACCATCAGCTCTACCAAGCAGAATGCAGTAATTACACAATTATGCGCGGTCCCCATAGAGGAGATCGGCGAGATCGGCTTGGCCGGGCTCTCCTGGCTTGCGGGAGGGATTTCCAGCCGACTTTTCAAGAATCCCATGGGATCTAAGCGCTTATAAACTTTCATAAGACGGACACTCTGCACGCAGGCCGGGTCCATCCGAGATCCCCTCCATGACTGCGTGGAAAGAGTGCAAAGCTTGTGCAGGGTGGGGGTCAGAGTCGCGAGCGATTCGAGCTGCCAAAAGATGTTTGCAATGGGTCCCGTGTGCACACTCACCTGGCAATATCTCAAGCGGGTACTTGGACTCGAGAATGCAGGCTCATCTTTGCAGCAGTCCAAACACCGCACCTTTAAGCAAGAAGGACACAAAACATCACTAACGACGATGACTGTCACCTTTAATCAGTTCCATTATAATTATGCTTGTAGTTCTTCAATCCTGAATCCCCGATGCCCCCCCAGTCCGTCGATCTTCCACCCGGCGATGCCCTGCACATGAATGTGGACAGAGGCTCGAGGTGTTTGTTTCCGGGCTCCTTCTGGAGGAATTGCGAGTATCGGGGTCAGACTGCGGTTTGTGGCCACACGTCCTCCTAGTCGGGAGAGTTTACATACTCTCGCAAGAAACATTAATAAGTCGGTCAGGAATGCCAGCTATGAAAAACAGTAGTTCGGTCGCCATCGTGACGTTGATTTATACAATCACACTCCTGATTATGCCCACGATGGTGACTGAGCAAATGATGATGATGTTCATCGTCATTATCATCACCACCATCATCATCTGCCTGGTCATGTGCACGACCATTGAACAGGTGAGCAGAAACAATTTGAACATGGTGATGCCAAGAACACTGATGGTGAGCATGTTCATCCTCATCCTCATCCTCATTATCATCATCATCATCGTCATCATCATCAGCATCATCAGTATCATCATCATCATCATCATCACCAACATCACGATCGCCATCATGATGCTGCACTAGCCTCGAGAGGCGCTGGCCTCCCACCCAAGGAAACGCCGTACAAGTACCATTCGCAGGGAGAGTCAGCCATCCCCTCGACCCCTGTATCTGTTAGTGTACTCCGTCTTGCAAGTGGACACAAGGATCGGGCATAGGGTGCGATTGGGTTTACGAGCTCCGCAAAATTGCAGACGCTCGTGCTGATAGCACAGAAAAGCCATCGGTAGAATTGGCACCATTGTGGAATCATGCAGATTCCTATCGCGCCCCTGTACATCAGCAGCAAATCCCTGCACAAACGAGCAAGCACAAATGCTGAGTCAGGTGCGCGTTCTGCGGGGAAGACTCTTGTGACGTTGGAGTGGCAGCTGCCTCCGAATGTACCGACTGGACAGATCCAAAATCCACGCCCCTCCTCGGCATTTGTCGCAGCCCGATCTGATCTGCATTCGTCATGACAGCAAAGGCATGGCAAGCTTCCATACTTCGGACGGCTCGTACGATTTCTCTTTCCCTCTTGGACTCTTAGACTTTATGTGAGTTTCAACGCGCAAGAGAAAGAAGAAGTGGAAACAGGAGAAAGAAGAAGTGGAAACATGCTTCGGCATACAAGCAGTATGGCTCGCAGGGCGGGTCGCGGCAGTCGTCGTGGTCGTCGCAGCAGTAACAACAGCAACAGCAGTACCAGCCACATGCGGCAGTGATTGTCATCGTCAGCGAAGCACTTGTAGACGCCATACTAGTAAGCGTCGTCGTCGCGTCGTAGTACAAAAGTAGCATATACTAGTAGTAGCAGTAGCCGTAGCAATAGTAGTACTCGTCGTCGTCGTGGTGGTAGTCGTAGTAGTAGGCGTAGTAGTAGTAGTAGTAGTAGTAGTAGTAGTAGTAGTAGAAGTGATAGTAGTAGCAGTAGTAGCAGCAGCAGCAGCAGCAGCAGGAGTAGTAGTAGTACTAGTAGTAGTAGTAGTAGTGGTAGT